TATATATATATATATATATATATATATACACGTATATATTCAGAAGGAAGACTAGACAATAAACTTCTGTAGACATACTGTCTCGGAAACCCAGGGAGGGGTCTCTATGAGTCAGAACCGATTCAACTGTAACTACATGTGGGGTGTGTGTGTGTGTGTGTGTGTGTGTATGTGTATCTCCTGGAGATAGACTCTGCAATGCCAAAAATGATATCTTTTTCATCTTTGATGGTAGGACCATGGGAAATAAGTTTCCTCTTTGTATTTCCTTTCTTTATTTAAATTTTAAAAAGATAGCATATATTGCTTTCAAAATGGGAAAAATAAAATAAAATTTTATGAAGAAAGGCTATATTTCCTTGTAGGAATTTTTAGCCTACTAACCCATTAGCTAATTAGGTAGAGCATCCAGTGGGTAATTATTTGTTTCTAATATCTGGGGCACTAATTTTCCCTTGAGAAAAATGCCTTTCATAGGAACCATTAATTAAAGTGAACAGTTTTTGGAAAGTCTGCTTCCCTATCTTAAGTTTTTCCTATTTAACTGAGATTGTATCCATCTGATAAGGCATATATTGAAGCAGCTGGAGTCTAGGACCTCCTGGCCTCACACTCCACATTCCTTTCTCCCCAGCTTCCCTCTCACAGCTGCCATGTCATGATTCACCTTTCCAGGGGAAACAACACCTGGTAATGAGGGCAATTAATTAGGAGCTCTGGTAGCATAGTGCCTACGGCACTTGACTGCTCACCAGAAGGCTGGTAGTTCAAACCCACCAGCCACTCCTTGGAAGGAAGGTTGGGCAATCCTACTTCCGTAGTGATACTGCCTTGGAAACCCAAGGAGGGGTTGCTATGAGTCGGGGCCGACTTGACGGCAAATAACAACAATGGTGATGCATACTTTATCTTATGACAACTAATATCGGTATCACTGGGGACTGTAGTACTCATTATTGTGGGTCTTTAGCATAAAAAAAAAAAACCCAAACACCTGCCATTGAATAGGATCTGACTCATAGTGACCCCTCCTTGGGTTTTCCAAGGTGATATCACTACGGAAGTAGATTGCTCAACCTTCCTTCCGAGGATGGCTGGTGAGTTTGAACTGCCAGCCTTCTGGTTAGCAGTCTAATGCCTTAGGCACTATGGTTAATATTTTCTTAATTATCCAAAATAACTGACTTTTTTAAAAATAAGATGCTTGCTTATTATGGCTCACCTCTGATCTGCTTGATGATTAAGGAGACTCCTTAACGTATTAGAGAACCAATCTAGTGTGCAGATGACCTGTCATCCTGGAAAGTTACTAAACAATGAAAATGAACTGGGTAAAAAGAAAATAATAACAGATCATCTTCTCCCCCTACTCCATTTAAGGGGGCCAACACCCTAGGCTAAATTAGGCCACTCATGCAATATTTAGATTTTGAAAGACTCATAATTCAAATCTTAAAATATATTTCATAATTTTAAAACTCTAAAGTTACCTGATTGCCTGTAGACAACATTTTTATAAAGTCTTGGCTCATTTTGTGATGCTCCATGGCCAAGAAGACAGTGTTGATGATGATGCAGATGGTGATGGCTAGCTCAGTAAAGGGGTCAGTCACCATGGTCCTCAGCACCTTCTTAATGCGTACCCAGTGGGGGCTACAGTTCCACACGAGGTATTTGGTTGCCAGGTTTTCCCCACATTGGAGGCAGGGCTCCTGTGATTTCTCTTGTTCTAGAGAAGGAGAATGAAGGAGTGTTTGAGAGTTGTCACTGAGCCAGCCTGGTTGCTGTTTGTCCGAGTATTTTCCTTTCTCCCCTACCCAAGCATCTTTTGTGATACAACATGATCAGTCAAGAAGAACACTGACATGTGCTGCCAGAATGATTTTTCCAACCATCATAATTCAGAAAAGGCAGTTTCCCACATATGACTGTCATGTGATATAGTCAAATCCTTACATTTTTATTGAGCATCTAGGAGCTGGGTTGCACTATTAATGATCCAGATTGGAAGTCAACATTAACTAGCTATGAGCCCATGAGAGAAAGGATCAACTCAAGTAATGTTCACTCAAGACAGACCATAGAGATGGCTTCCTACTGGGAACAAGGGAAGAAGATACATTTGGGCAGTGACATTTGTAAGCAATCAAACAAACTAAGGCATTCTCTCAGCTGGTTGAGTTTAGACTATAATACAACTGTACCCCTGGCACCTTTCTAGGAACACATGCAGCCTGTTAGGTGATGCCAACTAGGCTTAAAAAAAAAAAAAAATGCCAAGGAACCCATCTGACTCCCTTCTTGCAGGAAACTGAGATGAACACCAAACCCTTAGTTGGTTTCCTGTCACTTGATGTTAATTGGGTTGATCAGCTGGTTCCAGCCTGTCTACATAGATTGTTGTTATCAGATTCCTGATTCTAACTTTGATGACAATTGATACCTTCTGGAAACCTCAATGTCTTCTCTTCTTGGATTGACTATTATTGTCACTGAGACCTCCTATGACAGCCTGGCCAGATCATGGGGACCTGTATTCATGGCCCCAGCCATTGGATGTCTAGCCAGTTCTCATCACCAACCAAGTGATGGTCCAGAGTGGACCCACAGGGAAGGGCCACTTCTTCCAAGTCTCTTTTTATAAATGGTCTAAGGAGGCATAGGAAACCACCCTTTCTAGGAAGGTACCAGGGGTTGGTCCCTAAAAAAAATCCTCCCTTTGCAGAAGATTGTTGGGGACTGGGGTAAGGACGGAAGGATGCTGAAATTTGTCTTTCTCTTGGAGTAGTGGGTGGGACTTACCCTGCATGGTGATTGTGAGGATGCTTACAGCACTAAGAGCCCTCTGCCTTTGTAAGGGGTCTCTGTGCTCATCAGAGTGGTCCACTGACAGATTCTGGGAGAGTCGTTTGGTTTGCTCTAGGAGGTGTGGCTGTAAGACAAAGCATGGTGGACCTCTAAGGGCAAGGTCTGCCTATCCTCAAAGCTCCATAATCTACTTTATTTCAATGCCATGTGCAGTAAAGATGCTTCATATTTTACACACATCAACTCACTTCATCTCCATGAAATGTCAAATGTTCAATTTTCTTATTTCATAGTCAATAGATTAGAGAAATATGGTTTGATCATTCATATTTATTATCTATGAACATTTCTAGAGTCTTGGGGGGCACAGATGTTTGTGCTCGATGCCTAACAGAAAGTAGGTGGGTTCAAACCCACCTAGTGTCACTGCAGAAGAAGGCCCTGGTGATCTGGTGATCTGCTTCCATAAAGACAAGTAAGAAAACCCTATGCAGCAGTTCTAGTCTATAACACATAGGGTTGCCATGAGTCAGAATCAACTTGACAAAAAGTTTGTTCTCTACCCAAAGAAATGTTATTCCCTCCATGCATTATCCACTGTCAACAAAGAGCAAACACAATTTTACAGAAACTAATGAACAATAGGGGAGCTCTGATGCACCAAGATTAAAGCATTGGGCTGCTAACCAACAGATCAGCAGTTTGAACCCACCAGCCACTCTGTGGGAGAAAAATGAGGCAGTCTGCATCAGTAAAGATTTACAGCCTTGGAAACTCTATGAGGCAGTTCTACTCTTTCCTACAGGGTTGCTATGATTTAGAACTGACTTGATGGCAGTGGGTTTGGTTTGGTTTTAGTGACCAACGGTTCAGGGTATGAATACAATAAAAATTCTAATTTAGAAAAAATGATTGTGAGGGGCAGAAATTTATAAAGATAGATTGGGGTCAAATAATGAAGTGACTTAAATGCCTGACTAAATAGATTTTAAAACAGTCAGTAACTAAAAAGAACAGTCAAAATAAATACCACAAAATCTATATACTAAACCTCAAGCATTCTTCAGCCCCTGCTCAAGAGCTTATTGATTCCTATGTTAGCTACAATTCTAAAAGCTCTAGAGATTAAAGGACATAAATCTTCAGCTATCCAGAAAACTCAAGTGTCCATAATGGCATCTTTTCCAAAGGTTCTGATCAGTTAGGGCCCCGGAAGGAACTAACCCTTTGTGATAAGCTAATCTAAAAGCAGTTTATAGATTTCCACAGCTATTCTCCATTCTAGTGAAAGGGAAAAGACATTTTATATTAGATGTGTAGGTCTTTCCTTCTTGTTTTGTGAAAGAAAGAGAAATTTAAGATATTTTTATGTGCAATCTCTTCAGTATGCTGTGGTCTGACAGCAAAGAAGTCTCTAAACCATGAGACCTTTCCAAATCACAACATCAGAGAACAAGGTACAGCAATGGATGGGGTTTGTCTCTCTACTTCTGCAAATACTCCTGGATCCCCTCTCCTCGCCCCATTCTCATGGATACCTGCTTTCTGCCCACTCCATTTCCCCCCTTCTACCACAAGAAAGCAGCTCCAGTCACTATTTCTTGGCTGTATCTTCAATATTTTCCTCTCTTCAGACTTCTCTCTACATAATTGAAGTGTCTGGACACTTCCCACCCTAATGATAATAGTTCCTGAGTGGTGCAAATGGTTAGCACACTCAGCCACTAACCAAAAGTTTGGTGGTTCAAGTCCACCCAGAGGCGCCTTGGAGGAAAGATCTACTTTAAAAAAAAAAAAAAAAAAAAAAAAAATCAGCCATTGAAACCTTTGTGGAGCACGGTTCTTCTCTGACACACATGAGATCTCCATAAGTCAGAATCAAACCATGGCAACTGGTTTTAATTTTTCCCTACAGCAAATCTCCTTCTCCTCCTATGCCACATAGCTTTATCTCTACACATCCAACTACCTACTCAATATCCCTGCTTGGATTCCCATAGGAATCTTACAAGTGGCATGTCCCAAACTGAACTTCCCTCCATACAAAGGTGTTCCTTTCCTGTCACAGTGAATTACCCTCCACCAAGTCAGCTACCCAAACCATTGTTGTTGTTAGTTGTTGTTGAGTTGATGCCAACTCATGGTGATCCCATAAGTGCAGAGTAGAACTGCTTTGTAGGATTTTCAAGGCTGTGATTTTTTGGAAGAAGATCACCAGGCTTCTAAGCTGCCTCTGGGTGAGTTTGAACCACCAGTTTTTTGAATAGTAGTCGAGTGCTTTGCCTAAGGCATTTGACTGCTAAGCAGAAGGCTGGCAGTTCAATCCTGCCAGCCACTCCTTGGAAGGAAGAGCATAGTGCCTAAGGTACTTGACTGCTAACCAAAAGGCTGGCGGTTCAAACCCACCAGCCACTTCTTGGAAGGAAGGCTGGACAATCTACTTCCATAGTGATACTGCCTTGGAAACCCAAAGAGAAGTCGTTATGAGTCAGGTTTGACTTGACGGCACATAACAACAACAACGCTTCCGTAGAGATACCACCTCAGACACCCAAGGAGGGGTCACTGTGAGTCAAATCGACTCAATGGCAGTGAGTTTGGTTTTTTGGTTTAGGAACTCCAAACCATAAACCTGCCTTCATCCTCTATATCCAACCATTTGTCAGACTCTACCTTCTCCCCACTGCCATCAAGTCGATTCTGACTCAAAGTGACCTCCCCCCCCCCACAATAGGGTTTCCAAAGCTGTAAATCTTTATGGCAGCAGACTGTCTGGTCTTTCTCCTGTGAAGCAGCTGGTGGGTTTGAACCACTGACCTTTTTGGTTAGCAGCCCAGTGCCTTTACCACTATGCCACCAGAGCTCCTCTACCTGCTACAGATAACTATAATCTGCTGATTTCTCTTCATCCTCACTGCCCTGACCCTAGTTTAAGTCACCATAACCTCTCATTTGGATTACTGCAACAACTTCTTAATTGGTTGTTTCCATCCTTGCCCTCCTCTGATCCCTTCTCTTCAATGAATCCAGGATGACCTTTCAAAAATGCAAATCTGGTCATATCACTCTCTTGCTTAAGGACGTTTCAATGATGCTTCTTCCTTGCACTTAGGCTAAAGGATGAATTCTTTACCTTGCTTCTCAAGGCCTTTTGTAATTGCCCCCTCAACACTCTCAGCTCTCCTTTGCTTCTAGACCTTTCCACATGCTGTTCTCTCTATCCATAAGGCTACATTACTCTCTTTGCCTGGTTAATTCATCCTTTAGCTTCCAGCACTGCTTCCTCTGGGAACCTTTTTCTGAAGCAGATGCTATTAGTTGCTCTGTTCATATTCCCTTGGCCTTACTTGAGGGTTTTCTCTGGTGACCTGAGTCCCTTACACCCTAGTGCACAGCAAGCCAGACAATTCATGTCTGTGACTAGACACAAATCTTTAACCAATGATGGACTGGGATGCATGTATAAATACTCTAGTACCTCACTCTAGAGGCATTAAACTCCAACTACCTTCAGTGATAACTAGGTTGATACTGTACCACTTCAATTGGCCACCAGCCCTTCCACATATCACTTGTTGGGATCACTGCCCAAATAAATTTCTTGAGTTCAAATGTTTTAGGGTCCACTCCTGGGGGAACCCTCAACATGTCTGTCATCACACTGAATAGTAACTGCCTACTTACTAGTGTGTCTCCTTTATTAATTGTAAATACTGTGAAGTAGGAACTCTGTCTGTATTACACATCTTTATGTATCCCTAGTATCTACCAGATAGTAAATACTGTATACCAGTTGCAGTTGAGTCAATTCTGACTCATTTTGACCCACACATGTCTGAGTAGAAATGTGCTCAATAGGTTTTCAATGGTTATAGTCTTTCAGAAGTAAATCACCAGGCCTTTCTTCTGAGTTGTATCTGGGTGGATGCAAACTGCCAATCTTTCAGTCAGTGGCCAAGAGCTTAAGTTTGGGCCATTGAAGGACTCCTTAGTAAACACTATAAACACTCTTAAAAAGATGTTTGTAAGCAATGGATTGAATGGATAATTGAATAGAGGAAGGAGAATGGGGAGGTATTGCTTAAGGGGCACTGAATTTCTGAGAATGATGAAAAATTTGGAAACAGATAATAGTGATAGTTGCACAACATAAGTCACTGACTTATATGTGTAAAAATGGTTGAATGGCCAATGTTTTATTATAATAAAATATATATATTTCACCATAATTTTCAAAACATGGATGATTGAATAGATATGTAGATGAATGAAAGTGTGTGCAAAAGGATGAATGGAAAAAAATGAGTAAATTATTAAATATATATTTATTAGTTTACTAGCCAGATCTCTCCCCCTGGATAGCTCTATGGTACGACTAACTTCTTAGAGAGAGACTTACCTTTTTCTTGGAATCTTCATCAGAATCTGATCCTGGAGCCTGGTCTTTTCCAGACTCTTTCACAATGAAGGACTTCCTTTTTTTACTGCCAAATAGCTTTCTCTTCTTTGAGGAAAAAGATGACGCTTCAAGGGAATTAAGTGAACTTCTGTCAATTCCCATGGCAACCAGAGCCTTAGAAAGTACACAAAAGCAATTAATGAACAGATTAGACCTCCCCATAAGACCCTGCCAAAGACTGCAACCTTGGCATGCATGCTCTCCTTTCTTCTGATAGCATTGTACCATTTAGATGCCTTACCACAACTGGTATATGCTGCCCTTGCCTTTATTTATTTGGGGGGTAGGGGCATATCACATTTTCCATGGAGATTTCAGCCCTTAAAGTATCAGTAACTCTTACGTATCTCTGTGTCACTCACACTTAGCAGTGTCTGCTATGTGCTGGACCCTTAATAAATATTTGTGCCTAATGATGCAGGTGTATGGGCTTACTCTGACAAATCCCTGTGGGGAATGGAAAGGAGTATAAAACAAGGCTCTTTCCCTAAAAATCTGACAATTGAGTTGGGAAAATGTAGGTACCAGAGAAAACATCAGAATGGCCTGTACATACCACAGCAATTTTAAGGAGGGAGAGATGGTCATGGGCTGTCATTTCCAGAAAAAAAATAAAAATAAAACAAAACAAAAAAGCAGCTCTGGTGGCGTAGTGCTTAAGGCATTTGAGTGCTAACCAGAAGGCTGGCAATTCAAACCCACCAGCCACTCCCTGGAAGGAAGACTGGGCAATCTACTTCCGTAGAGATACTGCCCCGGAAGCCCAAGAAGGAGTCACAATAAGTCAGAATTGACTCTATAGCCACCATTATTGCTTTCCCAAACTCTCTCAAGCAAAGGGCCCTGAACACAAGCATCTCAAAATTTTCACAAGAGATGAGCTGAGCCTGGATTGATACATACCATAAAAGCCAAACTCACTGCCATCGAGTCAATTCAACTCATAGCACCCCCTCTGTGGGTTTCTGAGGTGGTATCTCTATGGAAGTAGGTTGCCCAATCTCCCTTCTAAGGAGGTGGCTGGTGGATTTGAACCAGGGTAGTTTTATCCTCTAGCTAGTAACTGGACTAGAAGGCTCAGGCTTCATAAGGTCAAAGGAGAGCATAAACACCAAGTGTTCACTGTTCTCAAGAGCCCTGTGCCTAGACATCTTTGTGACACAGAGCATAACAAACCTGCAAGGGACTTAAATTCTCAGAAAAGCACCCATGAAGGGCCAAAACCAGGCCTCACACAGCAGCTTTGAGCCCTGGGTCTCATCTTCTCTGTGGTCACCTTTGAGCAGACCCCGCTGTCTGATCCCACATGTTCCTACCTCCTTCTCCTCTTTTAACAGCTTCTGGGCTTCCTGGAACATCTTTTCCTTAGCCTCTGTCTCAGCAGCTACGTTCCTGTTCTGCTCCTCGTAAGCCATGGTGACAACAGCCAAGGTTAAGTTAATCAGGTAGAAAGAGCCCAGGAAGATGACCACCACAAAGAAAAAGGCTGAGACGGGCCCATTGGTGTGCAGGGTCTGCAAGGGACAGAGCACATGTTTGCATCCAAATCCTTCCTTTTACAGAGGGCTGACCATCATCTCAAGCAAAGATTATACAGTAGTAGAAAACTGGTCTTCCCCCAACACTGTTTCCTTCATGGGGCAACCCTAAACAGTAACATAAGAATGGCTTGGCTGACCACAGCACGGTCTTTGGCCTCCACAGTTAGCCAGGATGTCCTGGTGCCCTGTCTCTCAGTGGAGAGATACCCTCCATATGTTCACATGGAAGTCTTAGACTATATTACTTCCTCAAGGATATTTGCATTAAAAAAGAAAGAAAGAAAACAGAGTCAGAATTGATGGCAGTAAGTTTGGTTGTTTTTTCTTCTTTTTTTTTTATAGCTCTAACGGTGGAACTTCAGGCAGAAGGGAATCTGGAGAAAGGCAATATTTCTAGGAGGAGGGTTTTTTTTTTTTTTTTTTTTAACATTTTTCTTCCAAATATCACATTTATAATTTTCTTGGAATTTCTAATAGAATTTCTAAAGCAGAATTCAACAATACAACTCTTCAATATGGAGAACAGATGATACAGATGGAAGATACATGGTGTCTTCGTTATCTAGAGCTGCTGTAACAGAAATACCACAAGTGGGTGTATTTAACAAGTGAAAATTTATTTTCTCACAGTTTAAGAGGGTAGAAGTCTGAATTCAGAGTGCCAGCTCTAGGGGAAGGCTTTCTTTCCCTGAGAGGTCTGGGGTAAGGTCCTTGTCTCTTTCAGTTACTGTTCCTCTGTCTTTTTTTTATCTCCACATGGCATGATTCCCAGGCCCCCTTGCTTCCTGCTTGCTTAATCTGACCTTTGAAATCTCAAAAGAAATTGACTTAAAACACATTTTACAATGATATGGTCTTATTAACATAACAAAGAAAACCCTATTCCCAAATGGGATCACATTCACAGGTTAGGATTTACAACACATATATTTGGGGGACACAAGTCAATCCATAAAAGTAGGTGATAAATAAATGATAGAGAAAAAGATAGATAAGTGATAGAGAGATACTATAAATAGATGACCTGTTGATAAAGCTTCTCCCAGGAATCTTGGGTTATAAGCCGGAACATGGCAAGAAAAGACCAGCCAAAGTTGTCGAAATTGGTGTAATTATAGTCAGGATTATACTTGGTGTGGTTGCATTGAAATTGTTCAGAACAGGGCCTAGATATTTGAAAGAAAGGAACAGATAATTATTTTCCCCACAGGCCAGCTTTCCTTTTGTTCTTCAAAGGGCCCTGAGTTCACTCAAGAAAGCCCTAGGTGAAGACAGTGTTTATAGAGTAGCAGTCCCCTTCTCTCCCTCCCTCCCTCATCTACCAAGCCTCACAGCCCAAACCTTAAAGTGGGCTCTCATCGACTTTTTCAAATGGATTGATTAATAAATTCATATCAGCAAGTTTTAATTGAAAAATTAAATGCAGTCATAGAGTGAACAATTAACAGTATAAAAGGGTATGCAATGAATATTAAGTCTCTCTCATTCCCCAAACCCCTGGTCCCACTTCCCAGGGATGACAGTTAACAACTACTTTTGTTAATTTCTAGGTGTTTTCTATGACTATTGATGTATGTCTTTAAATACTATTTTTTATAACACATACATGGCAGCATGCCTTGAACAGTCTCTCTTGTGCCTTGCTTTTTTCATGGAACATTCTAGCTTGGAGGACTTTGTATATCAGCATACAGGGAGATACCTCATTTTCTTTTGAGACTTAACAGTCCTAGGATTTATTTAACTGATGAATGCTTCAGTTGTTAACACTCTTTTTGCTCTTCCAAACATTTGGGCAATGAATATTTTTGTGCATAAGTCTTTGCCCACATCACCAAAATACATATCATTAAGTGTATCTATAGGCTATACTAAAGGTATATGCTTCTGTAACTTTTTAGTACTTACCTTTTTTAATCAAAGTAATATACATATATTGTTAAAAATTCACATGGCATCAAAAGATTTGCAATGAAAACCAACTACCCCTGTATTACTCTTTTTAACCATCTTTTAAACCCCCTAAAAACAAATTAGTTGATGTCAAATTGATTCCATGGCTACCTTCAGTTTTCAAGGCTGTGTCCTTTCTGAAGCAGATTCCCAAGACTTTGTTCCAAGGCAGCTCTAGGTAGATCTGAACAGTTAGAAGTCAGGTGCTTAACCATTCATGCCACCAGGCACTCAACCATCATGTACACAACCCAAATTCAAAATTTGGTGCTTATACTTGATATTTGATTTATCAAATTTTGTCCTTAACAAGTAACTTCCTCTTCTCCACCCCCATGCAACTTCACCACTATTCCTATCTGTTCAGTGCTTATACCACTCTTCACAGAGAAATACTGTGACTTATGTTAATGGCTCTCCTGAGTTTGATACACTTTTTCTTGGCTCTCTCCTGGTTTACTCTCTCATTTTTCTGAAGAATATCTTCAAGTAAGAAGATTAGAGAATCTTTGATATCTTGATTTTACTTTTACAGTTGATTTATATTTTGGTCAGAAATAGATTGGTCATTTTTCCTTAGAAATATGAAAGCATTGCTCAACTATTATCTGGTATTCTGTATTGCTTTTGAGAGTTTTGATGCCATTTTGATTTTGCTTCTTTGTAGGTGACCTTCTTTTTCTCTCTGGAGGATTTTTAGATCTTTTTTCCTCGGGGTTCGGAAATGCCATGATAATGCACTTGGCATGGTGCCTTTTCATTCATTGTATTGGGCACTTTGTGAGCTGTCCAGAGACTAACACCCTTAATCCCAGGGAGATTCCCTTGTATTATCTCATGTTACTTCTTGAATTCCTACTAAGTTAGAACTTAATGTTAGTTAGAACTTATGGATTTACATTTATTCTCATAGCCTCTGTCTCTTTTTGTTTCTACTTCCTAGTCTATTTCTTCAGCTTTACATTTTCATTCTATTATTGGTTTTTTATAATCATGTCTAATTTCTGATGAATCTTTCTTGTTCTCTGACTCTTTTTTGTAACATCTTATTTTTACATATACAGTATCATTTTTAATTTCACTGAGGATCTTAGTTAAAGTTGTTAAAGCCCTTTTCTGGTTCTTTGAATTGTTATTTTGCTCATAGCCATTTTTTTTTTTTTTCTGTTTCTTATCTTGACCTCATGTAAATCAAAGCTTTCTTCAGATGCCTGAGGCACCTGGATAAACAGTCACAATTAATCAGAGGTACTAACAAACTCTGGTAGCAGAGTGCCTAAGGCACTTGACTGCTAACCAGAAGGCTGGCGGTTCAAACCCACCAGCCATTCCTCGGAAGGAAGGTTGGGCAATCCTACTTCCGTAGCGATACTGCCTCGGAAACCCAAGGAGGGGTCGCTATGAGTCGGGGCCGACTCGACGGCATATAACAACACCACCACCACAACAAACTAACTGGGGGTTTGCTGATTTGGGTAGAACTTAGTGAGTGGTAGGCTTTCCTTTAGGGTGACTGAATAGGAGGACAGCCATAATGTTGCCTTTCCCACCTGACCTCAATAAGATTCTATGAAGTCCCAGGGCCCACTATCCTCCAGGAGTCTGTTAGGGAGGAGTCGACCATACTTCATTTCCCTCACTGCCAATTAAAATATAAGCTTTTCCCCACCCCCATTCTACTCTCTAGATGTTCCTTCTCATCACCATATGCAGGTGATCAACCGTCTCTCAATCTTGCCCCTCCTCCAGTGTTCCACTTCAGCAAATGGCATCATCAGTTGCTCAACCAGAAACAAAAGAAATGTCTATACATTCCCATATATAACTCTTACACACATATTTGCACCCAAATATTCACATCAACACCTTTCTTCAGTCTGTTAGTCTTGTTCTTTCCATCTCTTAAATATCTTTGGAATTCATCCACCCATTTTTCTTCATATTCACTGTATAGTTTCATAACTCTCACCTGTGCGAACATAGGCTCCTACACAGTTTCCTGATTCACTCTATCCATCCATTCTCCACATAGGAGCCATGACTACTGCCATCGAGTCAATTCCAACTCATAGCAACCCTAAAGGACATAGCAGAACTTCCCCCATAGGGTTTCCAAGGCTGTAAAGAAGCATATTGCTTCATCTTTCTCCTGCAGAGTGGCTGGTGGGTTCAAACCACTGACCTGTTGGTTAGCAACTGAATGCTTAAACCACTGTACCACCAGAGCCCCTACACAGCAGCCATAGTGATTTTTAAAAACTCTGATTTGTTCAGGTCATTCCCTTGCACGAACTCATTTCCACATTTCCTATTTCCTCTATGATCAAGGTCAAAATTCTTGGCATGATGGGCTACCAGGACCTGCACAGTCAACCAGTGTCTCCTTGTCCTGCCTCCTCTCCTGCCCCAACATACACTGGACTTCTCATCACCCCCTTCATGCCTCATGCACTTAGGCCTTCACCCTTACTGTTCCTTTTCTCTGGAATTATTTTCTCTGTTTCCTCACCTACATAAATCTCCTACTCATACTTCAGACCTGAGTTAAAGTTACTGGTAACTGAATCCTCAGGAAAGTAAGCAGTGAGCAGAGGATGGAAGTCACACCTGGTTTCTGAACCGACCTAGGCCAGTCTGGGAAGATGACTTTCGGTCTGCCTTCTCAGAGTGCCATGTCCTTAGAAACTACTGAGTTATGATAAATGTGGAATACTGAGTACTAGGAGTTTGTTGACTATAAAACTTCTGGGCTTTGGGATTGCACCTGATACTGAGAAAGCTGTGACTGGCACACAAGTTTAGTTAGACTGGAACAACATGAAAGACCAGCTGGAAACCAGGGCTGCTGACCCTGTGTGTCTAAGTGGCCTGCACACACCTTGGATTTTGTCCAGTAACCATGCATGTGTGGGTGAGGGGCCAAGAGGCACTGTATATTGGCACCTGCTAGGTCTCCCATTAAGATGAACACACCTGTATACACAGAGTGTCCTTTCAAGTGTCATACTGGAAAGCTCAGTAAAGCTTAAATGATTGAAGTCTATTGTGCCTTGCGAGTTTGATCCAACCTAAACCTGTGACCTGGTAGCATAGTGCCTAAGGCACTTGACTGCTAACCAGAAGGCTGGTGGTTCAAACCCACCAGCCACTCCTCGGAAGGAAGGTTGGGCATTCCTACTTCTGTAGTGATACTGCCTCAGAAACCCAAGGAGGGGTCGCTATGAGTCAGGGCCGACTCGATGGCAGATAACAACAACAAAACCTGTGACCACCACTGCTGGCATGAGAGAAGTCTTCCCTAATTCTCCAGACAGGGTTACATCCCCTGTTATGTTTCTATTCCCTCATAACACTAATCACACTTTTTTGTTTTATTTTGTTGTTTTAGCTTTTAAACAAAAAACCAAACTCACTGCTGTCAAGTTGATTCAACTCATAGCAATACCTCCTCGGGTTTCCGAGACAATATCTCTACAGATAGATTGTCCAATCTCCCTTCCAAGCAGTGGATGGTTAGCGGTCAAATGCCTTAGGCACTATGCTACCAGAGAAGAAGATCCTTGGTGGTGCAGCAGTTAAGCACTTGGCTGCTAACCAAAAGGTCAGCAGTTCAAACTCACCAGCTGCTCCATGGGAAAAAGATGTGGCAGTCTGCTTTCATAAAGACTATAGGTTTGGAAATCTACTCTGTCCTATAGGGTCGCTATGAGTTGGAATGGCCTTGAAGGCAATGAGTTTAGTTTTTTGATCATCCCAACAAGACATCACTTTTGACAGAAAGGTGCTGCCTTGTTCAAAATTGCATTCCTTGGGCCTGATATAGAGCTTGATAAACTGTAAGCTCTTGATTACTATTTGTTATTGAGGACTGAATGTAGTATATTTCATCAGAATGCCTAGCATATTAACTTAATCTGAATTTTCACTGAACTGGATCTCTCAATTGACAAAGTGCACTTATATCCTAAAAGGAGGAGTAACCCTCAAAAGCCATATATCTACCAGCCATTGGGATGTATATGGATCAAAGCACATGTTCCATGTACATAATTAAAGGCAGTGGTGGTTAACAGATCAGCAAAGAGAAGTGAGCTCAAGTGATTGTATGTCAGGACAATGTCACTGAACAGGAAATAAGCACTGTGTGGGGCTCCCAGTCATATAGTCCTTACTCATCTTTGAAAATCCTGAATATCTACTCCATCAAGCTGAAATATCATTAAGTCTTAAAAAGGTTTCTTGTAAGCTACAAATTCACCATAACTGCTCTAACACTTAGAAATAACTTTTAATTTAATAATGCAGGGAGCTCTGGTGGCATAGTGCTTAAGGCATTTGACTGCTAACCAGAAGGCTGGCGGTTCAAACCCATCAGCCACTCCTTGGAAGGAAGGTTGGGCAATCTACTTCTGTAGTGATACCGCCTCGGAAACCCAAGGAGGGGTCGCTATGAGTTGGATCCAACTTGACAGCAATGAGTTTTTTAGTTTAAACTTGGTTACACCCAAACCCACTGCTGTTGAGTCATTTCCATCTCAGAGCAACCCCATAGGACAGAATAGAAATGTCCCATAGGGTTTCCAAGGCTATAAATATTTATGGAAGCAGACTGCTATATCTTTCCCTCTCAGAGTGGCTGGTAGGTTTGAACCACAGGCCTTTTGGATAGGATCCAAGTGCTTTAATCACTGCACCACCAGGGCTCCTCACATTTGCTTAGAAATAAGAAATAATCAGTACTGTTTGAGCACTATCATCACTATTTCCATATATCATTAGATGAAAACTGCTATATCTTATCTAAAGGTTGAGAGGTGTTCTACTTTGAAGACAAATGAAGAGTATAAATTTGTTACCTGCTACCGATCCAGAAGCCACACATTTTGTCTTCAGCAGAGTTACCTTTCTTTTCAAAGCAATAGTCTGAGAAAGGAAAGTCATACATTCAGATACAAAAGCACTGAAAGGAAAGAGAATAGCAAATATGCCAGATTAAGTTTGACAAAGATGGTTCTGAATCCTCTAAAATGATCAAAGTGGTTGTCTAGAGAGGAATAGAAAGGGGCAAGAGAAAAGGGAATGGAGCAGGGGAAGGGAGAAATGGGAGGAAAAGGCAGTGACATCACCACCACCACTACTTTGGTCTTTGATACAGAATACTGAACCAGGGGCCACCGTCATGGGTAGGACACAGATACAGCTCAGGAGAAGCTCATAAACCAAGTGTAGGTGCATGAGATTTCAGACATATGTAGGGCTGACCTCAGTGTGGAGAGGGTGAGGCACAGAAAACAGTGATATCCTTGGAGAAAATGTTTGATGAAGGTTGCCTGGAAATTGCTGGTTCCCTTTGGCCAATATCTGGCATTCTGAAGACTTCTCAAAACACGACCAAGAAGGTGGCAGAGATCTAATTGGGAAAGGACAGGAGATGACACTACCCTTGTGGGTGTGGCTTTGAGCTTTTACTTCTCCATGGAAACTCACAGAAGGAGGAAACTCTCTAACAAATACATATGTCTGCATCTGAGCCTTGGATTGATGAAGTCATCCCTTGTTCCTAAGGGACTCTGTTCTGCAGATCTGCAGAGTGTATGAGTGGGCATAAATCAAAATTAACCATGTACAGTGACAAAACAAAGAGTGAAAGGTGAGGTATTTACCTTTATTTGTAATAAATGTGCAATTCAGACAGTCCTTGTGGACACATTTCTGGTTCAGACTTCTCATGAAGAGCTGCTGACCAACCAGGGCGAAGATGCTCAGGCAAAAGAGGGTCAGGATCATCACATCAACAAGCTTCTTCACAGAGCGAAGCAGAGCTCCCACAATGACCTTTAGACCTGAGGAGGATGACAGATGTAGGGAGAAGCCACATCACCATCACCACCACTGGACAAGGGGACTGAGACAAGATAGTAGCAACTAGATAGCTGTTAGATGGTAGCTGAAATTGGAAACCAGCCTAAACTAAAATTCTAATGCCCTGACTTCTAATTCTAATTCTGTGCCTTAGAAGCTGTGTGTCATCAAAACAGTCAACCACTCTGAGATCAATCTCCTCTTCCTTGCCCTATATCTGGCACAGGGGTGCTCTGAGCAACAAGTGAGAAACATGCCATCTGGACAAGTGGAGTAACTCTGATCACAGTTGTGAAGGCACCTCCACATTTGGGGGTCACACACAGCATTAAGACTGAAATGAGGCCATAGTGCATAATGAACTAGACCAATATATTAAGCATTTTGTACTTCCATCAAGGTACATGTGGTGCTATGTGGCACAAATAAATTGGGAGGATTGGGGCAGGAAAGAGGATTTTATCTGAACCTAAATAATGAAGATGTCATGGGAATAAAAATTCAGTTTACTAGTAATAATAGGGTCTTTTCCCCCTATGCATTTAAGATATATTACTAAGCATCTACTATGTCCATGGCACACTGTCAGACTTCCAGTTGCAAAATAATTACAACAGCAACAACAAAAAAAAACCCACTGTCATCGAGTCAATTCTAACTCATAGTGACCCCCACTGGGTTATCAAGGCTATAAACCGTTACAGAAGTAGATTGCCTCATCTTCCTCCCATGGAGCAGCTGGTGAGTTTGAACCACTGAACTTCTGGTTAGCAGCCAAGTGCCTTACTCGCTACACAACAACAGTTGTTGTTGTTGTTATGTGCCCTTGAGTCGGACCTGACTCATAGTGACCCCTCCTTGGGTTTCCGAGGTAGTATCACTGCGGAAGTAGATTGCTCAAACTTCCTTCTGAGAGCTCCTTAAATTACAAAATAAGAAGGACTTCTTCTTGTGGTGTACTGGAAAATATTTAATACTTAGCCCTCTGGGTGGGGGAGAAGCTCTGATTTGTAGAGTTTGCAGGTTTCCCTCTTTGCAGAATTCCATGGGGTTATTACTCTCCATACTCCCCCCCCGCCCGCCATGGCTGACTTCAAGCTACTAGCACAGCACCATCACTGAACAAAAAATTGGGGAAAGATGTGCACAATCAGATGGGGAGCCAGAACACGTCAGCTTCCTCACACTGTGGAGTCATTGTCTCTGCTCTCAAGATAGTTGGAGAGATAAGCTCCCAGATGTGAATTGTAATATGTGAGATGACACTAAATGACAAAATTTCAACTCATCAGTGTAGACCATGAATTGCAGACTTGTAAGTAGAGAGATGAGAATACGTGGCAGTGTCCAATGACATCTTGTTAAGGTGGTGGTGATGTCACATCAAGTCCATTCTGACTCCTAGCAATCCTATAGCACAGGATAGAACTGTCCCATAGGGTTTCCTAGGCTGAAATCTTTACAAAAGCAAATTGCCAGGTCTTTTCTTCCATGGAGTGGCTAGTGGGTTCAAACTGCTGGTCTTTCCGTTAGCAAGCAAGTACACCAAGAAATAAGGCTTTCTGCAAAAATGTGATGCCAGTTGGGGAGGAGCTTTGAAGCCAAGCTAAGAGATTCTCTAAATCTACAATTTCACCCAAACCAGAGGTTACTACAATCTCATCCAGGCAACATTTTAATCTATAAAAAGAGGCCTGAGTCTACTTGAAAGCAAAAAGATTGGTATAGGAGATAGTTGTGATTTCTGAATAATTTTTACATAGTTCCGTAGAAGATCCACACCCTTATTTCCAAAAACATCCAGCTTTCTTGGTGTGTTTCATGGACCAAAATGGAGACTATGTTCACCTTCTTAGAAATGAAGGAGCCACTGACACTAAGTGACTAACTGAACATTTCTCTTACCTGTATGGAATATGAAAGACTCAGCTCATGTAGAAAATGCCTAAATTCACCTGAGAACAAGCCCTACTTGCAAACGAGGAAGAGAAGGAGGAGAGAAAAATTTTACATAATGTCTCTTCTGATTGAAAGTTTCTTTATCATTATTCACAACTGTCTGGAGTTTGAAAAAATAACCTACTCTCTCTGTTTGAAAGGCTGTAAATTGCCTGGAGTTTTGGTATTGGGGATATATGATAGCGTTTAAGTGTATGTAATCAGTAAAACCAAATAATTCCTATAGTTTTTCATGATCTGCCAAAGCCTTTGACAGAAGACAATAAAAAGGGAGGGAAGACAAAGAGGTGATGAATGAATTCCAGAAAGGGAAGATTGTTTTTTTCCTTTTTATTGTAATTTAGGTGGAAGTTTACAGAACAAATTGGCTTTCCATTTAAGAATTCATACACATTTTGATTCATGACATTGATTACCATCACCACAGTGTAACAGCACTCTTTCCACTTCCTATGTTTATAATTAGGAGCTCTGGTAGCATAGTGGCTAAAGCACTTGACTGCTAACCAGAAGACTGGTAGTTCAAACCCACCAGCCACTCCTCGGAAGGAAGATGGGGCAATCTACTTCCGTAGTGATACTGCCTCGGAAACCCAAGGAGGGGTCGCTATGAGTTGGGTCCGACTCGATGGCACACAACAACACAATGTTTATAATTACCATTCCTCCTTCTTTCCTATCCCTTCCTGCTTTCTGTGCCTTGTTGTTATGTGCCGTGGAGTTGGACCTGACTCATAGCGACTCTTCCTTGGGTTTCTGAGATGGTATCACTACGGAAGTAGATTACTCAACCTCCCTTCTGGTTTGAACAGTCAGCCTTCTGGGTTTATCATTGAGCAAATGCTGCCCTTTTGATCTCATGTGGGTTGATTGTTTTGGGGATTGCATACATCCCTGGTGTTACTGTTCACCTTATAGATCTGTCTATTGTTTGGCTGAAAGTTGAGCCTTGGGGGTAAGTTCATGATTTTGAGTTTTGGTCCACATTTCTCTCCCACTCTATCCAGGACCTTCTAATGTGATTCCTTTCAGAGCAGTCAATAGTGGTAACCAGGCACCACCTATTTCTTGTCTCAGAGTTGTGGAAGCTGGGGTTTACATGGTCCATTAGTCCTTTGGACTAATTGTTTCCATGTGTCTTTGATTCTCTTCACTCTTCTTTGTTCTGGATGGGGAGAGACCAATAGCTGCACACTCACAGGCTTTTAAGATCTATACGAAAGTAGGATGTAGAACATTGTCTTTGTGGAGTATGTTATGCCAATTGACCTCGATGTCCCTCGAGACCATGGTCCTGATGCCCCAGGCCCAGCAAATCATTCCCTCAAAGTGTTTGGTTCTGGCTAAGATGTTTTCATAACTTTATCCTCCTGTATACTCTAGTATAAGAATTCTGGTAGCGTAGTGCCCAAGGCACTTGACTGCTAACCAGAAGGTTGGCAATTCAAACCTACCAGTCACTTCACAGAAGGAAGGTTGGGCAATCTACTTCCGTAGTGATACTGCCTCAGAAACCCAAGGAGGGGTCCATGGGTTGGGTCTGACTTAACGGTACATAACAACAACAACAACAACAACATACTCTAGTATAGTCATGGATATATGTGCAGCACATATAAATACACATGAAATATCCTCTGTCAAACCTATATATATATTCTTTAGTGCAGTCCTAGTGGGAAGATTTCTTTCTTTCTTTCTTTTAATAAAGAGAGAGGAAATGAGAAGGTGAGGAGAGAGATGGGCCATAATAATCTCATTTGATTAACTGGAAGTCATATTCCTAAATCATCTTCCTCACCTGCTTCTAGGAGGCCACACTGGTGGGTCCTGCTTATCTCTTTTTCTGTTTTTTCCTTTTCTCCTTTTGCTTCTAATACTGGAGTGCCCTGGGTCTCAGTTCCATCTATATCACTCGCTTGGTGATCTCATCAGCTTCCTATGTCAGTATGGGCTCTCTGAGAAGCTGACACCTAAACAGAATTAGATGTCATGGTGCAGTGAATTACTTAACATAGCCCTTCCATCCACAGTCTTTGTAACACCTACAAAATGACAAGGTAGGACTACTCAAATATGAGGTGCTTGTGGCACACCAAGGGGATTGGATAGTGTGCTAATAATGTAAATAATATGCATGTCACCCTTGTGGGGTGGGGCCATGCAAATATGGCATATGAAACACTAATGTGGTCATTGGTCAGTTTGCCCTCTGACAGGCCTAAAATGAGCCATGTCAGAGGTGGGAAGAGGTATGTGTGTGAAAATCTCACTACCATTAAGAAGGAAGAGCCAATCAAGGAAAAAACTACTGGGTAATAGAAGAAATAAAAAGTGAAATAAAAAAAAATTCCTAGAAACAAATGAGAATGAAGATACATAATACCAAAACGTATGGGACACAGCAAAAGCAGTACTCAGAGGTCAGTTTATAGCAATAAATGCATACATCAAAAAAGTGGAAAGAAATAAAATCAACACTCTAACTCAACAACTCCAACAACTAGAGAAAGAACAACAAAATAATCCTACAGTATTCAGAAGTAAGGAAATAATAAAGATCAGAGCAGCAATAAATGAAACAGAAAAGAAAAAAACAATAGAGAAAATCCACAAAACAAAAAGCTGGTTCTTTGAAAAGTTAAGAAAATTGATAAACCATCGCAAATCTAACAAAAGAAAAGAAAGAGAAGATGCAAATTATAAGAACAGTAAACAAAAAGTGTGTCATCACAACAGAACCAACTGAAATAAAAAAAGATACTGACAGAATATTATGAAAAACTGTACTCCAACAGATTTGAGAACCTAGAAGAGATGGACAAGTTTCTAGAATCACAAGGCCTACCTAAACTATCCCACTCAGAGACAGAATATTTGAACAGCCCAATAACAAAAAAAGAAATTTAACAGGTCATAAAAAAAACAACTCCCCACAAAGAAAAGTCCTGGCCCTGATGGCTTCACTGGAGAATTTTACCAAATATTCAGGGAAGAGTTGACACCTATACTATTTAAGCTA